ATCACACACTGGGGTCTGTTGAGGGGGCCAAGGGAGGGACAGTGAGGGGATGGGGAGGTTGGGGAGGGATACCATGGGGAGAAATGCCAGATGTAGGTGATGAGGGGATGGAGGCAGCAAACCACACTGCCATGTGTGTACCTGTGCAACAATCCTGAATGATCTGCACATGTACCCCAGAACCTAAAGTACAATTAAAAAAAAAGAAAAAAAGAAAAAAGTAAGTTTAAGAAGACATTTGGGAGGCCCATTTGCCACACACACCCATAATATATGACTTTTAATTTATAATTGCATACATTAGCATACCAATATGCTATGTATATTATAAAGCATGCACAAAAATTATTGATAAAACAATGTAATCTGATATCTACTGTATATACCCAGTGTGCCTAAATATAAGACAACCTTGAACATGAGGGGATCTACATTTTTCTAGTAATAACATCCAAATGTTTGGCAAACTCAAATACATTTATACATTTTTAGATATAAATTCATGCCTACTTGTCACAGTTTTTTAAATACTTTAAAAATATTTCAGATATGTCAGCTTGGAAATATTAAATATTCTGTTGTAAGATTTTATGACATGGTTTTATCTAAACTCATTTGCATCGTCAATATCAGTAACATCACTACAGCCACTTTTTTTGTGGGGCGGAGGACAGAGATTCTGTTGCCCAGGCTGGAGTACAGTGGTGTGATCTATGCTCACTGCAACCTCTGCCTCCCTGGTTCAAACGATTCTCCTGCTTCAGTCTCCCTAGTAGCTAGAATTACAGGTGCCTGCCACCATGCCCGGCTAATGTTTGCATTTTTAGTAGAGACAGCGTTTTGCCATGTTAGCCAGACTGGTCTTGAACTCCTGACCTCGGGTGATCCACCTTCCTCGGCCTCCCAAAGTGCTGGGATTACAGGCGTGAGCCGCTGTACCCAGCCTACAGCCAATTTTTGCAGCAACTATTCACATCACATTCACTTCTAAGTAGTTTGTGATACAATACTACTTGAACTGGTAAATGATGCAGCCACTGGAAATTATATCCCACAGAAATTCTTTGTAATAACACCAGGATATTTTTATTCTTCATGCAGTAGTATATTTATGATCTTCACAGCATAACTACTTAGTATATTTTTAATGTAAACTTTATTGAAGTATAACACATATGAAAAGGTGTATAAATCTTAAGTGTATGGCCTGATGAATTTTCAGTGAACACGCTCATGTGCCGAGCACCTGCGTGAAGAAAGATAGCATCACCAGTACTCTCCCCTGCCATGCTCTAATCACCTCTCCCTCAGAATGCCCCCACCAACCCCTTCCATTGCCTTGCTGTGTGTAACACCTCCTGACTTCAATACTATGCATGAATGTTGCCTGGTCTAGAACCTTTTATAAAATGGTACCAAGTTGTTTATATAATAAGTAATTTGGTGTCAGGATTCTTTCACTCCAGATTATGATTGAGATCCCATCTATGTTGCTGCTTCTAGTTATAGTTTATTTTTATTAATGTAGAATATTTCATTGTATAAATATACTCAAATTTTGCTAATTCTGTTACAGATGGATATTCAGGTTATTTCTAGATTTGGGCTATTATAAATGGCGCTGCTGTAAACATTCTCATATAGCCATACTGTTCCTATTAAATACAGAAACATGCATTTAAAGGCTATATGAACTAAGGTCTGAGGCCTCACCAGATCTCAGCAGTTTGCTAAGGTTTAGCCAGACCTTAGTGGACCCTCCCAGTTTGCACTTATTAGCAATATAATACAGGTCACCATATATCCTTGCCAACATGTGGGATTTTCCATTGTCTGAACTTTAGTCATTCAGGTGGGTGTGTAGTTCCATTTCATTGTAGTTTTTATTTGTATTTCCTCAGTCTTAAGCACATTTTCATGCATTCACTAGCCATGTTTATCCTGTTAAGTACAAATTTTTTTGCCAAATTTTATGTTTTCAAGAATTTGTGAGAGCTAATGTATTTTAGACACAAATTATTTGTCAGATGTATGTATTACAAGCATCTCCCTCTACTTTGTGGCTTGCCCTTTAATGGTGGTGGCTTCACAGTATTGTTTCTTCACGAACATCATCTTCTCAAGGGTTTTACATTGAACATAACCCATGAAATGTCAGATTCCTTTACCTTCTTTTATATCTGATTGTCAGGTGACTTTTAGAAACACCCTAAACAAGCATTGGGAGTTAATTTGTAGGTTATTTGTTGTTAACTATAAGGTCATTGAGATGGCTCTTTACAATAGGAGAGACATGGAGATTGATTCTTTCTAGTTGGGGAAACTCATGTTACATTTAGGCATTGATAAGGACTCATCCCTCCCCAGGCCAGCATTTGCATCACAAAAAAGCAAGCTAAAGTTAATTGGGTTCTTCTATATCCTCAACAGTCATTTCTGTGTCTTAACGGAAGGTTTTGTCTTTATCAACATTAGCTATTCATCAGCAATTAATTAATATTTAAATGTTTTGCATTTACTCTGCAGAAAAGCAAAGAAACTATTTTCTTAAAATGATACACTACCTTAGCTAAGTTACGGTCCCGTTATTCCAATACTAATCTAGGTGTTATTATGAAGGAATTTTGCAGATACAATTAAAGTCCCTAATCAACTGACTTTAAATAGGTAGAAACAATTGGTTGCACCTCACTTGATGATAAGGCCTTAAAAGCAAGACTGAGGCCTCACCAGGAGAGAATTCCTCCTGTGGACAACAGCTTGAGCCCATGCCCAGAGTCCATCTGCTTGTGACTGTCTCTTCCTGACTGCTGCTCTATGGATTTTGGACTTGCTTAGCCAGCCCTCATAATCATATATGCCAATTCCTTTTTTTTTTTTTTAAACTTAATGTATGTATCTCCTACTAGTTTTGTTTCTCTGGTTTAAACCTCAACCTCAATGATCTTAGGGACAATACAATTGTTTTTCTTCACAAATAAATTACCAGCATGTAAAACGTTCATGAATGATCTTATTAGAAGACACAAGACTGTTTAGACAACAATCATTTTGTGTATAGCTCACGCTAGGGCTCAACCTTGACTACTGATGTTTAAATAGTACTAATTTTACAACTGTAAGAACCTAATGTCATTTTCTTAAATTACCATAATATGTATTCCTATTGGATGTTTAAAAATTTTTTTTTTTTGAAGTTGCGGGTGGTATTTATAGGTCATCAGTCATTCGAAGATTTTCATATTGACAGTGGCTGAAAGAGTTAAAGACTTGAAGTTAGCAGAAGAAAATGCATGAGTTAAGGGGATTTGTGAAAGCCACAGTTGTTGCTGTGTAGATGAGTCCTCCAGGTAGCAGGCTTCAGAGAGAATAGGTCGCAAATGTCGTTTTTTAGACCTCCTTCTGAGTTTTACTTTTCACTCTGGAAAAGAAGCTCTCTAGGATGATGTCGTGCAGCAGCTCATCACTCACAGCACGCCTGGTGAAAGCTGCGTGCACAGTATCATTTTCTCCACATATGGAGGGGGGATGCCTCACTTGTCACAGGCTATTGAAAGGAGTCAGCTTTCATCAGTGGATCCTGACAACACAGAAAGAAATGATTCACCTAAGAAGGATTTTTACTAATCCCAGGCAATGCAGGCCCCAGAAGGACAGGAACAAAGGTTAAGGCCTTGTTGAAGATGTTTCTCTCACACTTCCAATCTCATCTGGGGCCCTTATGTTCACTGCTATGTCTCCGCACAATTTTGAAGTCTTCCTCTCTGGCTGTACCCCTTTCCTGGCTGCACCCCCTCTTTCTGGTGTACCCCTCTCCTGGCTGGCTCACCAAAAGGCAATATTGGGGTTCAGGGTGCCCTCAGCTCCCCTGGGAGGACATTTCTCCAGGTTCTTGGTCTCCTGCCCTCTCAAGAATGAGAGAGGGGACCACGGCACAGTGCACAGTAAATGCCGGACTCAAAAGTGTTTGTAGAAAGTGATTTATTTTAAAGAGAGAAACAGGAGAATGAGAGAGAAGAAACAGCTAACTCTCACACCGAGTGAGAGAATCCAGAAAGATGGAATCCAGGAGAGGAAAGCAGCTTCCACACTGAGTGGAAGGGAATAGAGAGAGATGGAGTTTAGGAGAGGACGACAGGCTTCCACGACAGAGTGTAGAAGGGGACTCCAGAGGGAAAATCTAGGATAGAGAGAGATGGCTTCCATGAAGGGAGTGTTTGTGGAAGGGGATCCAAACATGGAGTCCCTTAAAATGTATTTCTTAACAGAAAAAAAATCTTTTAAAGCAGCCAGTCTTTATTGGCTTCTGTCATGTTTTACTGGCTTTTATCATGTTTCAAAAAGTTTGTCTATTAAGTTCTTAAAGGAAAACAATTTGGTATTTAGAGAGACATTCGTTTTCTTGGTGAGCTCACCAAGTTAAACCTCTGCTTACGACCAAGGGAAAATATTCATGTTTACAGTAACATATGAAACTAGTAAGTTCCTTATTTAGCCATTTTCAGAATGAATCTTATTTAATTCTTGAGCGCCTTAATATACCCCAAAACCAATGTTCATAAATATATTAGGCTCAATACATAAGAAAAAGTATCACTGGACTAGAATTTGGAAAATCTGTCTTTTGATATCCCACAAATAGCTGTGTAATGATGGGGAATTCATTTAACCTTTCTGAACCTACATCCTTCTTCTGTAGCTAACAGTTATTAAATATCCACTAGAAATCAAGCACTTGCTAGACACTAGAGATTCAACAAACACCATGACAAAGACAGACCATGCCTTCAGAGGCTTAAAGTCTGGAAAGGTGAGGTGTTTGGGCCAAATTACTTTTAAGTCTTCTGTTCCAGAGTGACTATTCTACACTTCAAATAGGATTACATTCATATTCTATGACCTGGGATTAATATAAGAATTTCTAAATGACACTGAAAAAGATATAAAGCATTAAAGATGTCCTATGTGAACATTTGTAAAATAACTTTTAAAATCAGAAGTAGGTTTTATATCTTTATTCAGATGTGATTCAACTGCAGAATGAATTTAGCATTATAAAATCCAATGTTTTGAAATTTTTTTTTGCTCAGCAATACAGTTGTATTTTACAACTTTTATAATCCTGAAGAGATTCTCTTATTTGGAGTTTTTCATGCATTCAGGTATTTGGCATGATGTCTGATGTGATCAGTAATAAAGGTTGCAATGAAGTAGTAGCTATGATCATAACCCTAGAAGACAAGATACAGAGATGATAAGACATTTATCTTCCATTCAGAAACATCAATATTAGAAACATTAAATATATCTCTAAGGTCATTTAATTTGCAAATAGTCATAACATTAAAGAAGTATGAGGAAGGTTTATAATAAAATCAAGGTTGTCATACTTTAACATTTTCACTGTACATAAAAGGGTGGCGAAAATATGAAGGAAAACTAAACATTCTGCCTAGCTTCTAAACATAGTCTAGCTTCTAAATGCTGCCATTAATATGTAAAGAGAGGAAGTAACACATTAATTAAATATGCAGAGTAGACACTGTCGTATCAACCAAGATGAAAAGAATCAGGATTTAGAGAGCTTAGAAACATGGGCAAGACATTTCAATTTACAAATGCAGCACATCAATAAGAGAGTGACTATTAAAAAAAATACAAAATAAGCAAAAAAATATATAGAAAAAGAACACAAAAATGCCCAAATGCACTATCCTTGTTGGGAAGTCAAATACAGCCATCATAAATCATGTTAAGAATTCATCCTGCACAGTAAAAGTATATCATATCTTTATTTGAGGAGAAAGGACTAATTCATTAAACCTTGACATCCCTTAGCAATACATCAAATTAGGTAAAAAGTCAGTAAACCGTTAAAAAACTACCATGAAACAGAGAGAAATGTGATGTGCTAAGCAGTTGAGTTGAAAGATATTTCTATCTATTCAGTCAATTAAAACCATTGTTGTAGGTAAATGGAGAAATAATCCCTTTCTGGTGACTTTGACACCTCTTCTGAGTACAAGACAAAAAATAGTCTTCCAAAAGAAAGAAAAAAAAATAAGGTATTAGGGTGGTAAAAAATTTCTTCCTTTTTTTTTTTCTTTTCTTCAACTTTTAAGTTCAGGGGTACATGTGCAGGATATGCAGTTTACATAAGTAACTCTGTGCCATGGTGGTGTGCTGCTCAGATCACCCCATCACCCAGGTATTAAGCCCAGCATCCGTTAGCTATTCTTCCTGATGCTCTCCCTCCCCCATCACCTTTTGACAGGCCCCAGTGTGTGTTGTTGCCCCTATATATCCTGGTGTTTTCATCACTCAGCTCCCACTTATAAGTGAGAGCATGTGGTGTTTGGTTTTGTATTCCTGCATTAGTTTGCTGAGGATAATGGCTTCCAATTCCATCCATGACCCTGCAAAGGATATGATCTCATTCCTTATTATGGCTGTATAGTATTCCATGGTGTAGATGTGCTACATTTTCTTTACCCAATCTATCATTGATGGGCATTTAGGTTGATTCCATGTCTTTGCTATTGTGAATAGTGCTGCAGTGAACATACATGCGCATGTATCTTTATAATAGAATTATTTATATTCCTTTTATATATAACTAGTAATTGGATTGCTGGGTCAAATGGCATTTCTGCCTCTAGGTCTGAGGAATCACCACACTATCTTCTACAATGGTTGAACTAATTTACACTCCAGGTGGGAAGAACTTTCTAAGAACTTTCAAACACCAGATAATTTATCCCTACCCACAAGTAAAATACAAGGTTGAATAAACTAAAATAAATAAAAGTCTAAGAAAGATTTTTTTTTCTTTCAGTTTTGGACTAGTAAATGGTCACTGATGGGAAAAAATGAGAATTTTTCTAAGCACTTAAGAAATAAAAATAGAGCTAATAAAAATATCACTGACGCTTCAGAAAACAAGACAAATCCCCAAGGTTTTGATGAATCAGTAAATGTTCTCAATCTCTCCCTTCCAGAGAGGTATTAAATGTTTATCTTGGGAACAGTAGTTAATAAAAAGTTCTGGGTTAAGGTCAAAGTAACTTATGTCTTTTAAAGCAATTTGTCATCTATTATGGAAGTGAATGTCACAGGAATGTTGTCAAGATTAAAGCTGAGCCTCAAAATTACTTGATGTCATGTCTCTCAATGATTAGACTAAGTCCCAGCTGGCTAGTTAAATTTAGACCTAAATTACAGTTTCCTATATAAAGAAAGAAACGTAAAGAAAAGCATTTTGCATCCATATAATTCTTGAATTGTTAAGGTCACGAAACCTGTAAAATGTACCCAAGTATTTATTATCTGTCATTTTTCACAGATCAAAAGATGGATTTGATAAATAATGGGTACAGATGCAGAGAAACAGACACCTCAAAAGACTTGTGTGACCAAGTCCCAATGTGACTGAGTATGCCATATTTTATCCTTAGTTTCTTGTATGTTAAGAGCCATCAGACACACATGAATAGCCATCATTATTATTAGAGAAGTCTCAAGGTAAACCCAGGAATATACTGCAAGACAAGACAAGACATCTAAAACCCAAAACAAATGACCAAAAGTTCCATAGTCATAAAGATTCACCTAGATGAGAAGGAAGAAAATGCCTGCCATGAGGGATCAAGAATTTTTAAAAATATCAACAAAAACGCAGTAGAACACATTTGAACTATTGGTATCCTGCTGAGCTATACAATTCGAGCTAACTGTATCATCTCCAACTAGGGATTCTGTTTATCAGTCTTATTTTTTTTTTTTTTTTTTGAGACGGAGTTTCACTCATGTTACCCAGGCTGGAGTGCAATGGCGCGATCTCGGCTCACCGTAACCTCCGCCTCCCGGGTTCAGGCAATTCTCCTGCCTCAGCCTCCTCAGTAGCTGGGATTACAGGCACGCGCCACCATGCCCAGCTAATTTTTTGTAGTTTTAGTAGAGACGGGGTTTCACCATGTTGACCAGGATGGTCTCGATCTCTTGACCTCGTGATCCACCCGCCTCGGCCTCCCAAAGTGCTGGGATTACAGGCTTGAGCCACCGCGCCCGGCCCCTATCAGTCTTATTAAATGAGGATGGCTTCTTTAATTATTTGATGAATGAGTTGGTATGACAAGTTAAGCAGCTCGTGCAAATGCCTATGTTTAGTGACACCTGAAGGGGCTTTTATTGCCTCTACCTCACACTTTAAATGGAAAATCCTTGGTAACAAAACTCTGACTCCTGGAGTATAAAAATAAATGAACACATTTCATTCTTTCATTCTTTTCACTCAAAAGGAAGCAGTGCTCTAGCAGCTATGGTGGATATTTATCCTAACGGGCAATGTTTTCTTACATATTTTCCAGACCCAATTAGAAAAGCTTGGATATGAATTCCAAGGTTATTAAATCTCTTCAGTGTTTAAAAAGGAAGACTTTGCATTGTACCCATTTATTTAACAAGTATTGAGAGTCTCTATGCTAGATAACTGTGCTAAATAAGCGTGGAATATAGAGACGAACGAGAGAGCTCTACATTTCTGGGATCCTCTGCCATGTTCTTACTCTTCTCTGAAAGGCAGATCCAGAGGCTGTAAGAGCCTCTCAATCTTCAAAAAGGTCCTGCGGCTTAAGGAGGTAGTATAGCCTCTCCTTCTATTCCACAAAAAGAGAATACAGTTTCTGGAAACTTCTTGAGTATTAGGTCACTAAGTTTTTTCCTCACTGTGTAACTCCAGTAAGTAAAGATAAGACGTACTAAGCCCTTCTTTTTCAGAATAAGATTTGATCTCTGTACATTAGATATCAGAAGTTTGCTACCTAGTATTTTTTTTCAATTTAGATTCCCTGAAGCCAAAATAGAAAAAGAAAAATATATAAATAAGCAAATAAATATCCCCAATGCACTAACCCCTCCCTCTAATTTTTTTTTTTTTTGACATTTGACAGAATATAAATTGTGAGCATTTAACACCATTAAAAAGAGGTAAAGGAATGAAGTTGAGTATATCATGTGCATGATTGTAACCATTTTTCTTCCCTCTCATATTATTTATATATATCCCCTATTATTTTCAGCTTATTTTTCACAGCTTCTATCCCACAAAGAAATACAGTTACAATATGCTTATAATCAAATGATTAAGCAGGTGATATGATAAAGCAGGTGATAGAACCCTCAGACCCAAGGTAATCTTGGGTCAAAGCTGGTAAGAAAATCTGAAGGTAGACTCTCTGGGGCCACTACTCAGGCATGTTCATTCAGTTGTTGATTCAATTACAACATATCTAAACGAAATCTGCTTCAAGCTGTGTAGTTCACTCTTATCCTGACCATGCTGGAAGTAAAGTGAATAGAAAGTTGTGTCCAAGCTCAAGATTGTAACTCTTGTGCTTTGAATAACTTCCTTACTTTTTTAGAAGAATTGAGTGGTTTGTCTTGACTCCTCATTAAGTACAGCCAACTACGTGTTCTAGTTGCTTGGGATACAGGCATTTTAGAAACAAGTAAGTTGACTTATTTTTCCCTCCAAGAATGTCAGCCATGTTCTAACTCTGTTGTTTTTATAACAAACTTGAGAGATTTTCAGACTTTGTTGGCAGGCAGAAACGTTGTAGAAACAGAATTTTTGGGCACAGTCTTTGGGGAAGCAGATGAGGCATCCATCCATCATGGGTAGTGCCAAGAAATTAAGGTCATTTGGAAAAAACATGGTTTGGTACGTCACTTATAGCTATAGTTACTGAAGTTAAATGTACTATTATATTTATAGCCAAACCGGCATTTGGATTTCTCAAGACGGGTTGTTGACCTACAATTTAATTGTGACGGTAAATGTTCAAATAAATCTAAAACAAAATTCTATTACTCAAGGATGGACACTAAGAGACAACAAGGTATATACAATGACATTTTCTCACCATATATATGTGCATATATAGTTCATATGTGCAAAATACCCCTGCAAACAGGAAAATTGCTCAGATCTTCTGCGTAAGTTAGACAGGCAGCAAGCTACGCACAATTTCTCCTTGTGCTAGCTCGAATTCCATTCCTTCGCTCCTCAGGAGCACGTCACGCTGCCTGAGAATGGCTTGATAAATGACAGGAGGACAGTATTTGCAGTCAAATGGCCTTGCTTCCAGTCTTGCTTCCACCACTTACTAGCTATGTGATATTAGATAAGCGAGTTACTTCTCTGAGCCTGTCTCCTCATTTGTAAAACAGATGGACAGGAAAGGAATGACATCTCACTTGTGGGTGTAAGAATTAACAATGAGTTAATGCTTGAAAGCATTTTACAAACTGTAATGTACCACATTACACATTGATCTAGACTTATTTGAACTTTTACCATCATAATTACATCTTAGATCAATGTGCCTGAACACATTAACCTTAAACATGAATAAAATTTTTTCAAAAATCATGATCATGTATAATTTTCGGTGCTCATTTTTTTCACTTTGAAATATTTTAAATTATATCCTGAAGCTTTTTAATTTTTTAAAAAAATAAAAGCAAAATTTCTTTAATTATGACTACAGTAGCATATATAGAGTTAGGTGAGTAGTGGAGAGTCAAAAGTATTTTAATTAAAACAACTTGCAAGCCAACTGGGACTCAGTAATTATTCTTAAACAACTAGAAATGTCAAGTAGCACAACAAATAACTTAGTAGGTAAGTCAAATAACATAAAGCACGTATATGTGATAAATAATACTTAACTGCTGAGGCTAAAATATGCTTATAAAATAAGGAGTAATTGGGGTAGAAGTTTGTCTTTTTTATTCTACTGTAGCAAAGGCATATGTGTAAAGAAAGATGTATCCGCTAACATTGAAGATTAATTATCATTCAAGCATCAAACATCTTGTTATTTACTGGTTTGATGGAAAATAATATTTTTTACTGCCAAAAGCTTTCCTATTTCTATCAAATTTAGTGTTAGATATAATTAATTTTATAGGCAGGCTTTCAATTGAAGTGTCAATATAATTAAAAACTTACTAGAGTAGCATTTTATATTCTAAAATAAAGGTAAGAAAATGCCATGAAATCCTTATTCTTCATAGTTACATTATTTATATCAAGCTAAGGTTTCCTAGTACTTGCCTCTTGTAATCGAAAAACAACAGGGATTTTCTTTTCTGTACAGGCAGCGATGAAATTGTCAGGGAGTAACTGTCCATCTAAAAGAAACTGGTCATCTTTTCCTTGATCGATTAGTATGTCAAGCTGAGAACCAGGATAGGATTTCACAAGATGGGTAGCATCATATGCCTGTAAAAAGAGAAGTTACATTGAAAAATAAATTCAAAGGTATTCTTCAGAATATACTATGCTAGTCCCAAATAGAAATTTAAAGTTATTTAAGTTCTAAGGCTGATTAAATCAGAAATATGCTTTTAAGTTGGCTAAAAATCTTGCCAGGTTTTTATTTACAAGGTCTTCAGAATTCTATTTTCTAATAATAGTCTCTTCCCTGCTTTCAGGCAGTCCTAGACTAGTGGCAAGAATCCCGTATCTCAGGCATTCTTCACAAAATGTCCCTTTTCCTTCTAAACCTTTCATATTCTTAATCTCCTCTTGACTCCAGTAAGAACATGATTTTTTTTCTTTGTAACTCCTTCCACAAATCAGAAATTAGAAGTTTCTTCTAACTCCATGATCTTTTTCTACATAGTCTCTATTTCAGATAATCTTATTATTATTTTTTTTTTTGGTCTCTTCTTCATGGCTCTAATTCCAGACATAAATACATTCAGCCTTCTTTTTTGCTGTTGAACAGCACCAAACCTCTGCTATCTATGTAAGTTTTCAGAAAGATCTTATATGAATAATCTGAATCATATCTACATCATCTCAAATTTATTATCTGAGGAGCTGCCACTAGTTACAATTTTATATTTTATCATTCATCTTGAAATATTCTTAATTATTCACATATATTCACTAACCACAACTTTTGTAAGTTGACCAAGACAAACAGCCATCAAAAGATTTGTCCTCTAAGTGTCCTGCTTTTGAAGACTCTATTTCCTTTCATCTTAAAAGAGTGAGAGAGGACCTATGAAGTCTGACTAGTTCTAAATCCTATGATTTCATAATTCTACATGGTTTCCTGATTTCAATCATAAATACCCTAAATACATCATAATTAAGACAGTAAAATCTACTGTCACTTGGAGAAAAGTACATAACTAGATTCCTTTTTAGGTTACTTGTGCCTCTACCTCTCACCTTCTCCCTCCAATTAGTTGGTCATTTACCCAATTCTTCTATTAGACCACAAGCCCTCGGTAGATACGAAATATCACCATTTTCATAACAAAGGAGCTCAGAACTTAGCATAGACTTTGCACCTGATGAAGACTCAAAACACTGATGCACATGCAATGTCAGTTCTCAAAGGACCTAATCCTAAATCAGTTCTAGCATTCTTCCAATATAAAAATTCAAGCGTAAACACAACTGTAATCTAGTTACTAATGGACGAACCCTCTAATTTGTTGGAATTTCAGTAATCACCCTTAAATAAAGTAGGGGTTCCTGTGAGAATGACCCCTGAACACAGAACTATAAATGCTTTAAGACAAAGATGTTGTGTTTTTTTTCCATTCAAGTATTTTCTGCTTGTTAACAAGGCACGATGATGAGTTCAAAGTATTGAGACTCTTGGTGGAGTTTGCAAATGGCCCATTTCTGCACAAGAGTAAAATGGCTCTCAAGAGAAAGGGTCATTTTTATTTTCACTTGCAAGCACCTGTTTTGCATGCTTAAGAAAGCAATCTTGCTGTGGGAATATTCACATAAATGTATATAACAGAGTATCTATTTTCTAGACCACTCTTAGGTCTAGAATTTAAAATCAAGATCTGAAATACTGAATTTTGAAAACAAATACATAAAATAATTTAAAAAGGTAGGGTTCTTTGTTTCTATTACACAATGAACATATAGTAATAAGAGGCAAGTCAAAATTTCATAACACAGGTTGAATATCCCTAATCCAAAAATCCAAAATCAGAAATGCTCCATAATCTGAACATTTTGAATACTCAAATGATGCTTAAAGGTCACGTTCAAAGGAAATGCTCATTGTAGCATTCTGAATTTTTATATTAGGGATGTTCAATCTAAAATATGTGGTATTTTTAGATTAGAGATGCTCAACCTGTAATATGTGGTATTTTCTGTTATGTTAATTTAGAAGTCATGTTAATTTAGAAATAAAAATAAAAATTAACCCTTAGTAGAAAAAAATGTAGCCCTAGAATATCTGCCATTATTCAATACAGTTAGAAAGTAGGGTTTTTTGTTGGTATAAATATATATAACTTTTGCTAATTCATCTCAGCTCTGAGCCCTAACTTGAGCAGGGTAGGAATATAATGTCTGTGGTATGCCCAGCCTTTTAAAGAAACTTGAAAACTTAGGATTGAGTATTAAGATAGCCATTCAGTACCTACCTTCCATTTACTTTGATCTGGTCCCAAATATCCACTAAAGGCTTTTTTGCCCCAAGGACAGAGTACAGGGTTGCAAATTGGAGCAAATGCTGACACAGACTTCAGAAACAAAATAAATTTAAAAACGAGTTATATTTTGCTAAATTAAATATGAAGATACTTGCAACTTGCTTAAAAATATAGAAGTTATTGGCAACTTACTTAAAAATTCTGACTTGACATTAAAACCCTGTGAACAATTTTCCTTTTGATACATTACTGGCTTAGATTGTAGGCCTTTCCATAATACGTCTTTTGTATATTCTATTAAGAAAGCTAATAAATATAATTGCTAAAATAATGCAAAACAGTACACTGCAATTTAATTAAGATACAAACAGAAGTTTATGTTCAGCGTTTCTGCTTCTTTTAGCACTAAAATTAGTCTATAGTAATATAAAAGTTCATGCTTATCTTAGTGAATGTTACTAAGCCTGACACATTATTTCTCTTAAACAGTACCAACAAAGCAGTGAGCAATGCATTTCAATATGATAGAATTTTTAATACAACTCTGTGTTCTATAAAATGTTCTTTTTCACTGGATATGGTGCAGAGATGGGATCTCTCAACTTCGGAGTACTCATCAATGTACATGTTTAGTGGTATATATTAGCTTTTTTAAAGGACAAAAAATTCAACTAAGTTTGCTTTTCTACCTCAGACATGATAATTGGACTGCCTTAAAAAAATGGAAGTAGGCCGGGCGCGGTGGCTCAAGCCTGTAATCCCAGCACTTTGGGAGGCCGAGGCGGGTGGATCACGAGGTCAAGAGATCAAGACCATCCTGGTCAACATGGTGAAACCCCGTCTCTACTAAAAATACAAAAAAAATTAGCTGGGCATGGTGGCGCGTGCCTGTAGTCCCAGCTGCTCAGGAGGCTGAGGCAGGAGAATTGCCTGAGCCCAGGAGGCGGAGGTTGCGGTGAGCCGAGATTGCGCCATTGCACTCCAGCCTGGGTAACAAGAGCGAAACTCCGTCTCAAAAAAAAAAAAAAAAAATGGAAGTAGGCCGGGCACAGTGGCTCACGCCTGTAATCCCAGCACTTTGGGAGGCTGAGGCAGCAGATCACCTGAGGTTGGGAGTTAAAGACCAGCCCGGCCAACATGGTGAAATCCCATCTCTACTAAAAATACAAAATTAGCTGGGTGTGGTGGCACATGCCTGTAATCCTAGCTACTTGGGAGGCTGAGGCAGGAGAATTGCTTGAACCCAGGAGGTGGAGGTTACAGTGAGCCAAGATTGTGCCACTGCATTCCAGCCTGGCCAACAAGAGCAAAACACTGTCTCCAAATAAATAAAAAATAAAAATGCTTACTTAGCAGAAAACCCAGTATCATGTCATGAACTAGTAAAATTATAATAAAGCTTACCAAAAACAAAATATTTAATGCTATAGCAAGAAATTGCTATGAAAAATATTTTCATATCTCAGTAGCACACCTAAAATAATGAAGTTCACCAATCTTAAGGGTATGAATAGCCCTGTAAGTTTAAAGGCAGAAGAAATCTTAAGATGATAGTTGCTTTGACACTTTCCTTTTCAACTCTTGTAACATGCTGCTCTGCACAGTATGACACACTACATATGGCAGTTATTCAAATCTGACTCTAGGAAAGGCTGAGAGTGATGTTTGTTAATCAAGCTGCATTTCAATTTTCATCAGAGGCATTAAGAACAGAATACTTAAGCTTCTACAAATCATATCTTTTACCTCAGAAAATCAAAGTCAACTTCACAAAGACATTCCTGGTAAGACTATAAATGATAGGTTCTGCCACAATAGCATTAATCAATAACTTTTAGGGGAAAAAAGTGTGTTCAAAACCATAGTTAGAATAAAACCAATTAAAGCAGAAGCTACATTTTATAATACTTTTAGTAGGCCAATAAGAAAGCACTCTTAATGAATTCCTATGCTTCTGATTCTGTAGCATATACTCTGTGGTCAAATTAAATACCCACCTGCCAAACACCCCAAAGTTCTCAACACTAGAAACGTTTAGTTTCAATACTAACAATATTGTAATTTTAATCTTTGAAGGTTCCTAATATTATGTTATTCAAGAGAAATATTTATCACTAGAAGTTTAGATAATCTTACTTTGTATTTTCCAGGATTTTTCAAAGCACAGATCAGAGCTCCATGGCCTCCCATGGAGTGGCCAAAAATAGATGTCCTTTGGGGATCCACTGGAAAATTGGCATTTATGAGTTGGGGAAGCTAGAAAAAATTTAATCATGTGACAACAGATGTCAAAGAAAATAAGTTTAGACTTTTTCAAAGTTATATAAAATAATTACAAAATCAGTGCTGCCAAATCATAGTCTTAAAATGGTTTGAACTAGTAACAATGAAAATAAAAGAAAATTCTCAGGTAAACTATGGTTATTAATATATCCCTGGAAATATATGGTACAGACTTCTCTGAAAACATTTTAGGAAGGTGATGCAGAAAGAACCTTCAAATGTTCTTAAATTTTGACCTAGTAATTGCTTTTTGGAATATATTCTAAGGAAGTCAGTCCTTAAGGAGAAAACATTATGCACAAAGATAATCAATGCAGTAATATTTATTAGGGTAAAAATATATAAAAAACCATAAATATCCTACAAGAGGTAAAAGTAAATTATGGCATATGACAGAATATTATCCAATTATTAAAATTAGAATAACACTGGAAAATATTTTTATATATAACATAAAAAAGAACAAAATAAAAAGATTACAGTTACATGAAAACTAGTCATAGAAAGAGTCTGGAATATACCAAAACGTAAGTGTTTTTTGGGGTAACAGAAATATGGGTGATAAAAAACCTACATTATTGTTTCTAAGTTTTATGATATACATATTAATAATGAAGATCATATAAAATTTAGAAAAGCATAAGCAGCATACAAATATTATTAATAGAAGTAATGCTTTACCACTTATGTTTTCTAACTAAGCCTTGGCTTATCACTATAAAATATATCCAAATGTGCTTATGTAAATTTAATGGTTAAAAACAAAACAAAACAAAACTATATCCAAATGAACCAGCTGCCAGGCAAAGTAAAGGTTTTTTCATGTATCATTTTCTTGGTTATTCTGGGTAGTATAAACAGGTCTCACTATAATGATTAAATTCTTTAATTGTACTTAGTGTTAATTTAAATTGCAGTAAATAGGACTATAGTACTAGAAAACTTTGGAATTTTCACTCATAACTTTTGTACCCTAGTTTAAAATCCTCAAGATTGTAAGGACTTTGTGTCCCAAAATCAAACTGTTGGCAGTCATCAGTTAATAATTACAGTACAAATTAAATCACCTCCTCCGTGACATAAGAGTACATTCTGTAGTTGGTTTTCCAAGGATCTTCGGTGGCATCAACATAAAATCCAGCACCAGTGCCAAAGTCCCAGCTCTCATCTTCTCCTTTAATATTGCAGCCACCTATCAAGAAACAATCTTGTGGTTTCATCTGCTCTGTAGTAATGGCCCATGTTTAGTACCACACTTTCAAATGAATCTGCAAGTCCACTTGCATGGGAACTCTTCACAAATGTTGTGAGCTCTCTGCCTTTTGGAGCACATGATAGGATTATGCTTCTTGCTCCTCTTGCCCTTGAATGGGGCCACGTGACTCGTTCTGCCCAGTGAGGTAAAAAATGACTTTCCAAGCTGGAGTATTCAGCTGCCAGGGTAAAGCACACTAACTTCCTTTGTTGATGAAGTTTCTTTTGTACTCTGAACATATGCTTCCTTACTCTGGTTTACCTGTCAAAAGGACTTAAATCTTCTTTTTGTCTTTTAGAAATATGTTGTGATCCCTTCCCTGATGACCCTCTCTCACTACCAGCACCTCTTTAATTCTCTTTTACACAGGAGTGGGGAAGCAGATGCTTGTGCTCAACTCGCTATCTTGAACTGAAAATGTTTTCTAATATGCTTTATTAATGGAGTTATTCCATCACATTCCCCTGTCTATCCATCCTCCACTGAAATTTTTTTATATTTCTTTTAAATTTATTCCGTTTTATTTTATATACTTGCATGTGGTTAAAAAGCCAACTATTGGGATTTTGAATAGAATTACAGTAACACACAGAGTAATTTGAAGACATACCCTTATCATAAGATCCATTTTATCCATCTAGAAAAACAGCATTTTCTCATTTATTAAAGTCTTCATTTATGATCTTCAGCAAAATTTTAGTTTCCTTTTTATACATCTTCCTAAGTTTATTCCTTAATATTTTATATTTTTGATGCTATTTGAATTAAATCTGTTCTATTTCTAACCAGGCATGCCTGTGAAAGGAAATATAGTGCTTCCCAGGCCAGCCATATACCTTCCCTAGTTTTACTGCCATTTAAATTCCATTTCCTGCCACTTCTAGAGTCATAAAACAAGTTTTAACTGTCTGATACATTGAGTTCTCACATATTTGATATTTTCATTTCTCTAATGTAAATATTCAGATCATCTACATTAAAACTAATACTTGTTTAACTGTATGATTGATGTTAACAGAGATGAAAAAAAGATGTAATTATGTAACAAGACAGTTTACCTTTGGAATAGAAAAAATAATTTCCTATGCATTACATATTAGTATTTTGACAGTAGTTCCAATATGATATATGAATTGAGTTGCTCAAACTCTGCTTTGAAGTATCTTAATCTGTACAATGGGAATAGCAAAACTATCCTCTTTCTTAAGAGCCATGTCATGAGTAAAACTCAATGAGGAAAATGTATAGCATAGTATTTTGGAGTCATGATGACAATTGAAAGGTTAATAGAGATAACAGCAAAAATATAAAATGAATTGTATAATGTATATATCATACCACTTATAACAGTCCTAAACATTTAGATGTTTATAAAGGATATCTGGACCACAAACACTTACGAGGGCTGGTGTCTGGAGCAATGACAACAAGACCATGTTCTGAAGCAGCTTGATGATAACCAGATTTTGATATAAAATTTTGTTCTGTGCAAGTTAAACCTGAAGATAAAAAATACTGTTACTGGGCACACAAGGACATAAAAGATGTGTACCATTAACACTGAGGACCATTAGACCAGGGGGAGAGGGAGATGAACAAGGGCTAAAAAACCACCAATTAGTAGTTCTAATGCTCACTTCCTGGGTGATGGAATCATTCATACGCCAAACCTCCAAATCATGCAATATGCTCATGTAACAAACCTGCACATGTACCCCCTTAATCTAAAGTAAAAGTTGAAATTATTAAAAAAATTGGCCGGGCGCGGTGGCTCAAGCCTGTAATCCCAGCACTTTGGGAGGCCAAGGCGGGTGGATCACGAGGTCAAGAGATCGAGACCATCCCAGTCAACATGGTGAAACCCCGTCTCTACTAAAAATACAAAAAATTAGCTGGGCATGGTGGCGCGTGCCTGTAATCCCAACAACTCAGGAGACTGGGGCAGGAGAATTGCCTGAACCGGGGAGGCGGAGGTTGCGGTGAGCCGAGATCGCGCCATTGCACTCCAGCCTGGGTAACAAGAGCGAAACTCCGTCTCAAAAAAAAAAAAAAATTGGCATTTAGAAAAAGAATGTGCAACAGTGTAGACGAATCTGAAATGCATTATGCTGAGTCAAATAAGCCACATATTTACTCCTGTATTATCATAATAGTCAACTGTAGAAGGTACAGCTAAATACAGGCCANAAAAAAAAAAAAAAAAATTATCTCATGCTATATTGTGAATGGTTTATAAGCTTTAAACTTTTTATAATACAGGAAAACAAGCTTACTTGGTATTATTAAATTTTTTTTTTTTGCTTTAGAAATAATTAAGACACTAAAATTCACTTTTTAAATAAAATTTATAATAGTGTTAACCTAAGAACTGTGTTAAGTGATTGCATAACTATCCTTTTAAAATCACTTACTAAAGTTTCAATTACTAAAATGCTTTGGACCAGATGTGTTTGGGAATTCAGAAATTTTCAAACGACAGAGTGGCAATATGGTGTATAAGCCCAATATTAAACAACTCCAGTAAAGTGTTATCAAATATGCTAATTAAACTTCACACTATTTCTGCATCAAAACATGAACAGTTACAGTAAATAAGCAAATATTATAGTATTCAGAATACAAATAACTTAATATTTTTATATACAGGTAGTTCTCAGCAACAAAATTTAGCTTAATCATCTTTGTATTCTTCACCGAACTTAAAAGAGAGTAATGGTGATCACATGCCATCCCCCGAGTTTTAGCTTCAGTTTTTAGAAGTTTCTGTTATTTTTCCCAGCTCTATGCTTTTCAGTCATGTAATAGAGAAGATGACTTAATTCTTTTACTTTAGGTATCTAATACTATAATAATGATGTGAGAATGACAAGGAATGAAATACCAATAGGCTTTATTGATCATTTCACCAGGTGAGGGACGTTTGGTTTGTTTATACTTTTTGGCTATTATAATAGTGTGCTATGAACATTCATGTGCAAGTTTTTGTGTGGACATGTTTTCAATTATATTGGGTACACAGCTAATAAAGGGCTGTTTCAATGGTCACCTTCATTGGAGAAAGATACAAATCACTACACATGAACTATCTTTTAAGATTTCAGTTTGGATGTTTTGATTTCAGCTAATTTCTCTATTTTCGCAATGTAATAGCTGTGTCATTGGTTTCCTTAGACTTACTGGGAAGTAAAGCTTCTGAGATTCTTTTGTCATCATCTCATGTGCACTGGTGCAATCTTACCTTTACTCAGAAAATCAAGCCTTAATTTCCAAGGTCTATCTGTTCTTGAGCATCTCACTAAGGAAACTGTCCTGTCATTTGATGTAAACAAACAAAAATTCTGTGTTTTATACTTGTAAAGCTCAGATGTCTTGCTAGATTCAATTTTGGTTAGAACTTAGGGCCTTATTATTACAGTACCTATGACACAATGCCTTGGTCCTTCTGATCTGGTTATTATTGTTTAACCAAGAGATATGACTACAATAGCCCTCACCGGAAACAAAATGCAAAAACAACAGGAGAAAAAACTAAATACAGCTCTGGGCTGTGAGTCAGAAAATTTGTTTAACTCCACATTACTGTGTGACCCTGACCAATATTTAGCTTCTCTGGGCCTCATTTTCTTTCTAGGGATTACATGACTTCTAAGATCATTTTTAGCTACACAATATTATGTTTTCTGAAACAATTAAATAACTAATTTTGTTGCTCTTGCTTTTGGCAATAGCTATGTTTTTCTAGCAAAACCAGCGCTCTTCATTCAATCACGGAAATGTTTTCTTGAATTAAAGTCAGATATGTACTTAATCTTTACCCTTTAAGACAAAATATTTATTCTCATTTTCAAAAACTGGTATTTGGGACTTGTCATTGATGAAACAAACATGAGGGAGGATTTGTTAAATCAATGTTACAGGAACCAATTTGGAGAAAAAAAATTAAAATAGTACTCTATGACACAATTTAGTTGCTATGATTCTCTCTTTATAATGTTTGTTTCTAAAGATGAAGTAGTACCAACATCTTGTGAAAGAAAAGTTAGCATAGAAGTTTCAAAAGGCAGGTGTCAAAATGTTACTCTCTTCACAATCTAGTCTTTAATACGAAACTCTGATTAAGAAGTATTAGCATTCTTTTGTGACTTTCTAGTTTGTTGTCAGAGAAGCTCTATGGAGTCTAATTAAAATATTTTAGAGAACATTGTAAGAAGTTACTTGACTTCTTACAAATAGCTGGTTTCTTATTAGAGTGTCCTGATGTCCTGATTTCACCTAATATTGTTCTATTGGACTAGTAAAGTCTCTATAAACTCCAGAAATGCTTGAATAGGTACAAATCAGGTAAATAACTTTTCTAAGCCCTTGCTATTAAGTACAGAACTTTACCTTTTCTGCTAAATTACTTGATCTATTAGAAAAAGATGTGAAATAAGTGTAATTCAGTAGGTCTGAAACTATTCGCAGGACGAAGTAACAGAGTAGACTATGACAGGCCCTTAAGGACTTTAGGCTCAAAAAGAAAACGGAAACCACTTTACAAAACTCAAATGCATAACACTTACCTGAGAGCCAATACAGCGCAGGGCACTTTCCAGTTTCTGCCTTTGGTGGTAAGTAGACAGCAAATTTCATTTTGCAGCTCAGTTCAACACTAATTTTACCAACAAAATATTAATGTCCCTCATTAGGCAAGATAGAAACAAAATAATTATGCACTATATAAAAAGATATATAGTAAAGGTCCAAAGTAAGCTATTTCATGTCTAAAATAAGTGGTTCCATCAACATTTAAGGAATATACTTGTCCCTTAAAGAAAGAATGTGGCCAATCTGGCATACTGATCTAAACCAACCTGAGCCTATACTTTGCATGGCACTGTTATTTTGGGCAGCGTAAGTGAAAAATAAATGTAATCCTCATTGTGGTACTTATTAAAAAAAATTGTTTCTGTTTCTAAAGAAATGTATGAAATCACGAATCATCTTTTATAAAAAAAAATGAATTCTTGCCAGGTGCGGTGGCTCATGCTTATAATCCCAGCACTTTGGGAGGCAGAGGTGGTTGGGTCACGAGGTCAGGAGTTCAAGACCAACCTGGCCAAGATACTGAAACCCCATCTCTACTAAAAATACAAAAATTAGCTGGGCTGGTGGTGGGTGCCTATAATTCCAGTTACTTGGGAGGCTGAGGCAGGAGAATTGCTGGAACCCAGGACCCGGAGGCTGCAGTGAGCCAAGATCGCACCATTTTTCTCCAGCCTGGGCAACAGAGTGAGACTCCATCTCAAAAAAAAAAAAAAAAAGAATTCTTGAGATCTTACATACTTGCTCAGGGCACTAAAATGCAACACATCCTTAATTTGCTCTTTCATAACTAATATTTCATCACAATCACTATTAATGCAACTAGAAAAGATAATTTTGATTAAAACCGCAAGCAATCTTCCAGTAAACAGTAATTCATGCAACAATGATCTCTCATGGGTTTAATTTAAAACATCATATAGCTGGAAGTAAGCTCTTACCACTTCAGAGTAAATACCTATCTTTTTATTAAAGTTATACAAGTACATACAGTTTAAAGTGAACTGTAACTGTAAATAGTAAATACTTCCACAAACTTTGTTATGAAAAACTAGTTTTCCCTGGCCCAATCTTTTCATTTGCATATTCCAGAGATAATTAATTTACTTCTTTTAGCTGATTTTTCTGGTATTTATGTCCCTATCTAAATAACATGACTTTATTACTGCTTCTAGATCCTTCAGTTTTAGTTATCTATTGACTTCCATTATGGAAGGATTTTAGTGAACTTTCATCTCCTTGTCTTTGCTCCCCGCACTCCCCCATATTTCTCCTTCTACTCTCCTATCATATATAATTTTGGTTAATCAATATTAAGAAGTTATAAATGCTATTCAGAGATGAGCCATGTAGTAGATTAGAATTACTTCCCCTTTTCTTTCAGTTTTTCATTTTCATTAAGCTAGGAATTCTCTCTTTTTGTTACTGGTTGTCCTTCCTTGCTAAGAATAGACTCCCACAAAGGCCTCATCATGAGAAGTTTTCTGTATGCTCCCTTCCATTCTCTGCATATTGGTGATTTCCTTTATTCACATTATTCTAAGCAACTTTTCCTATTGATGACTGATGGCATAAAAAATTTCTGACAGCTGTTTTTAGGTTTTCAACTTTTGTAAGGGAAGCTGAAACATTTACTTTCATTATAATATCATATTACGTCCATATCCAACGCAGGAATATTTGTTATCAATACGTAAAATCAAGAGAACATAATCTTGTTACAGGGTGGTTGGTGCCTTAAGACCTTTCTTGCACATTTAAAAATTTGTTAAGAGGGTATATCTCATGTTAAGTGTTCTTATCACAATAACATTTTTAAAAGAAGACCTGTCTCAAGTAGCTGTGGAACAAATCAGGTCTAAAGTATGTTCAACAGTGGTATGATTCACGTTTATGTAAAAGCAAAAAAAAAACAGGATTATCAAGCAATCTTCTGAAACCTCTGTCCCTATCATGTCATTAAGATGCTGCTCAGTTACCAAAGGAATACCAACTCATGCACAAAGATTTGTGTGGTCATTTTAAATGTATCACGAATTCGATACCAAATTCCCTCAACCCTGATTGGTTTCGTAAATTTCCTCTCCAATACAGTCAATTCTATCAATTTCATCTACATTAAAAAAATTTCTTCAGACCAGTACTGCCAAACACAACTTTCTACAGTGATATTAATAAAAAATGTTCTACATATGTATTACCCAGTACAATAGCTTCTAGTAACCTGTGACTACTGAGCAATTGAAATGTGGCTAGTGGGACTGTAATTTTATTATTTAACTAATTTGATATAAATGCCTGCATGTAATTTCTGGCTACCACATCTCCAACTTTTGACCTGCTGCTTCCTAGCTGCTGCCTTAATATGACCCCGCTCCTCTGGAAATTCTTTCTCCTCTGATCTGTTTTCTTGGGGCTTACGTCTTCAGCTATCTTGCTTTAGTCCCTCATTTTGGTGAAGTGTATTATTCAGTTGCTTCCAAAAGTGCATAGGAAATACACTTTCAGGCCTTTCATATATAAAAATGTCTTCATTCTACTCTCACTTAACTGACAATATGATTGGACATAGAAGTCATCCTTCAGAATCCTGAAAGCACTGCTGCTCTGCATTCTTTGTTCTAGTAATACCATTGAGCTAACCTAAACCTTTGAAAATTCTTAATCTACTTTCTGTTTTTCTCAATGTTTGGGAATCTTCTGTTTCCAATGCTCCAAAACTTTACAATGTTGTTGGTGTAGATCTGTTTTCCTCCATTGTACTAGACAACTTTTTACATCTGGCAACTTAAACCCTTCAGTTCTGGGAATTCTTGAATTATTTCTTTATTCTTTGTATCTATACTTCTATTTGTTTTATTTTCCAAAATTCTAATATTTAATGTTGGGTTTTTGGACTAGTCCTCTAATGTTCTTATCCTTTCTGATTTATCACTTTTGTCTTATTTTACTTTCTAGAATGTCAACTAAGCCTTTTTTTTTAATGAGTTTTATCATTTCTACTATCAAAACTTAAATGTTTGGGCTTTTTTGTACTTGAAGTTTATTTTATTTTATATTTTTCCAGACAGAGTTTCACTCTTGTTGCCCAGACTGGAGTGCAGTGGTGCCATCTCAGCTTACTGCAACCTCTCCCTCCCAGGTTCAGCAATTCTCCTGCCTCAGCCTCTTGAGTAGCTGGGATTACATGTATGCATCACCATGCCTGGCTAATTTTTGTGTTTATTTTTTTTTCAGTAGAGACGAGGCGGGGTGGGTTTCACCGTGTTGGCCAGACTTGTCTTGAACTCCTGACCTCAAGTGATCTGCCTGCTTCAGCCTCCCAAAGTGTTGGAATTACAGGTGTGAGTCACCACGCCTGTCCATGTACTTGAATATTTTTAATAGCATCCTACGAAGTCAGAGGTCAATATCTTTTATGCCTTTGATATGAACAGCAGTTTACATTAAATTAAAGGCTTTACATAAATGTCTAATGATCTTTAGCCGTCCACTCCTATTTAAGAGTGAAACACTAAAAATCTAGTTGAAAGCACTGTGCCTACTAGTGGAGTTTTCAATCACTGCTTTACTGTAAGCTCTGGTTAGATTACTCTGTTGGCAAATTGCAGTATCTTGAAATCTCTTCTTTTGGGCTACTCAAAATTGCCACAGGACAATTCTTCTGAAGGATACAAGACTAACTCCCCAAATTTTGAAAGCTAGTAAAAGAAACTCAGTGTGTAAACTTTTGCTTAATTTATTTGCAGTATTACAACTCCTACTAATTATGTCTGGTATTCCCTAATACAAATGCTGTTTACTGTCTCTAGAGAACATACCTCCAATCTTTCTCCAGAGTTAGTAAGAGGCAGTGCGTAAAGCTGGGACACTCTCAGATCTATCACCTTTTAAAAACAGACTTTCGATTAATCTTCCTTTTTCTGAGCTCAACTTTTATCCTGATTTTCAGGTGTACCTGGTGCCTTCAATTACTATGGCTTTTTATAAATTGTGTCATTTCTCAGCTTTTTATTGCTGATGTTTAGAATTTAGCTTTCTAGGATTTAATAAGTCAGGCACTACCTGTCCATTTGTATTCCTGCTTCTAATATGTTACTCTTAGCTCCTGTCTCCTGCTTCTTTTTGCCTTTACAGGTGTGTGTGTGTGTGTGTGTGTGTGTGTGTGTGTGTGTGTGTGTGTGTTTAATCTCTTTACTTAATGCCATTTTGGAGGCAGCAGAAGCAAATCCATGTGTTTAATGTGTTCTTTCTCAAAAAGTCCAGGTGTTTTTCCTACACTTAGAGATCCTCAAAGAAAATGTTTTCAGAATTTTTACTGGCAACATAAGCATTTTCACAAAGTTTCAGAAAAGTATCAAGTTAAATACTTCTCTGTTAAGAGAAATATTAACACTTCTTGGTTGAAGATAATTCTCTGTTAAGGCTGTACCTCACACAATCATATCCACAGCTAATTAAGTCTGGTAAAACTGTCAAATAGATAACCACAGAAAGAGTAAGCAAGTTTAAAAGTAAAATAAGGTACCATAATATCTAAAGATTTGTTTTAAAATAGAACAAAACAATCCAACAGAATGAAAGATATCTAAAATTATATCTTCTTAATAGATACCTGTCATGTTCAAAAACTTTCTGCAATCCCCCAAAGCACTTGTTGCTGGAAATCTGCTTCAATGCCATTCTTCTCCTATTAGCAAAGAGTAATCTCATTAATTTCCAGAGAATTAGTTCCTGAAAAGCTAGAAACAAAACCAGTTTCCTTCAGATAAATTATCTGAACATACAACTATTTTTTACCTAGAATCTGCTTTTCACATTTTCTCCAGTAAATATTAAGAAACTGATTAACTCACATACATGCATTTACATTTGTTACTCACTTTTAAAATATTTCATACTTTGGTATATCATTACTAATTTATTAACAAGTTCTTTGTCATGGTGGACTGTCCCAAATTCTTTTTTAAAAAAGGCAGAAAATAAGTAAGTTACCAATTAATTATGTTAGTTTAGAAGATTAAAAATTGTTAACAATCTGCCTATCAACTGCAACAAAGTAGACAAGGAATTGGTATGACTAATTATGGTTGATTTCAAAATGGAAGAAAGATGATGTGATAATGATTTTGCTAATAATAACAGATAATATTACTGAACACTTACAGACTGACACAGATTTTTCTAGATACTAAACCAGATCCAATTACTCATCCCATGAGTTTTTAAGAGAAAGCAATATGAAACAAGATCAACACTTCTCTATTTAAAACAAACCAATTAAGTAAAACATAAGCTTAACTCTTTTCTGTCCAATAAATATTTTAAATTTTCATGTAAAAATAATTTTAAACTTATATGTAAAATAACATATATTTTATTGCCTTTACTGATCAATACAGGAAAAAAGAAAACCATTTTATCATAAATGCCTCTTGAGCAAAGGGAAACCACACTGATTCTGACGTGTACCTCTCAAGGAAAGATTCCCTTCCTATTCTTAGAAGCACTGTATTAGAATATAAGGCAGTTAAGTCCTACATACTAAAGAAAAACCTTTAGATATCTGGAACAGGTATTACCACCCTGGTGATCTCAGTGAAATGCACTACTATGTGCCTATCAGCTGTAGCTTTAGGATTGCTCTTTCAAAGATATTTAACAATAATCTTAAAAAGCTAATTTGGAAATGTCTTGCAAAATACTTAAAAAATTTAGCTTCAATCTTATCTTTAATTTTTTCAATAAACCCAAATACTTAGTTTTACTTTGGAAGACTAGGATTTGAACCCAGGAAGTCTGACATCAGTCCCTACTCTTAGCTAATATGCTCTCCTGACTCTCTAGAGGTTCTTTAAATACTTTTTTTTTTTAAAAAGGCACTCTAAGATAACAGATTCTGTAGAATTATATTACAATTGTACATAGGGAAACTAACATCTGCTCAGTTTTATGCTTTTAATTTATAAAAGATTAATTCTTAAACAACAAACTCCCATGAGACGTTATTAGTTATTGAATATTAACTTTAGCTATTGTTCACAATCCTATCTTAAATAATGAACTTACAGAGATAGACATTGTTTAATTTTAATATATTAACACATAGATATGAGACCAATAAATAAAATTTATTTGCTCCATTATTCCACAAGGAAACCAGATTTTCTTAAATGTAGCAGGGACTATATCCATTTTGTAAAAGACGGTATACTGAGCATGGATCTGGTACATAGGAGTCTATATACTTTGCTGTTCATCTATTTTAATAAATCTCAAGTTGTCAGTTTTCTCTACTTTCAAAATTCAAAAGCAAATACTTTTCATTTGGCCAGAAGGAACAAAGTCAAAACACTTTTTAAAAGTTGGTAGAATATTTTTTAAAAAACAAAATTTTTAAAGTATTTTTTCTACCCACCCATTTTAGAAACTATCTTTAATTACAAATCAAAAAATATGTTAGGCTTAACAAGAAATATGACATAAACTAAGAACCTGATATGACATACTGTAACACACTATGATATCTGATATGTTATAAAGGGTAGTTTTATTTTTCAATAGAATTTTTCTCTGTGAAAAATAGCACGTTTTAAAACAAGCTATTAGTGTTTTTTTCATTCAATGTTCAGAGTAATATATGAACAAAAAAACAAGTTTACCTATCCAATTGTTGATTGCTTTTTGCTTGAACCAAAGGGTAGACGATGCTGAAAAAAAGACCAAATGGTTTACAATGGGATATACCTTTCACAGCAAAGGTTATACGGAGCTGATATATGCATATGCATTCTCAATAGAGACATTTTCTTCTTTTGAGTTAGGTGACTGTCTACCCTGATGGGATACCACATCACCATCTAATTACCTTAATTGCCCATAATCTAATTATTTGCCACAAGGCCACCTTAATACCTATTTTGCCATAAGGCTTGTTGGTGGTAGTTGATCAAAAACATTTGTTGAAGTAAAAGTATTATGAAAGTTTTAATCTTTTTAAATCAAAAAAAATTTCAAGTGTAATTTGGAAGTATGAGATGTATTTAACTGCTGAGTGAAGAAAACGAGTGTGGACTAGTTAAGTAGAGGAAAATGTCTCTATCTGGCTCAGAGTTGTAAGTGGAACTTGTAACATTGGGAGAAAAAACGAGGGAAGAGATGAGGCCTGAATGACTACTACTAGGGTGACTAGAAAGGATGTGTAAGAAAATTGGGCTTATGAATGATGCTGAAGTGACTGATATTCAGTAAGAAAAAAAATATAAAAACTTACATAGTATATATCATGTCACTTGTCTGATAGATTTCATTTAGGTTCCAGAACCAACATGTATGTATGTTCTAGACCAGATTTTCTGGGAGAAATAGGGTGACAGAGTAGGGTGGAATACCAAAAAACCAAACAACACCCTTCCTACTTCTCCTCCAAAAATAAAAAATACAAATAAAGCCCAGAAAAACAATTTCACAGTGCCAGTGGGAGTCACACAATTTTTCCCAAAAGTTAGTGAACATCAACATTCTTTGGAGAAGAAAGGGTCTCTCAGTGCATAATACATCCATTCCCCTAAAGACCAATCCTTACTGTTCCTCTCTTTATATTTTATTTATTTATTTATTTATTTGGAGGCAGGGTCTTGGCCCTGTGGCCCAGGTTGTAGTATAGTTACAGAATCATGACTCAGTGTAACCTAGAACTCCAAGCTTCAAGTGATCCTCCTACCTCAGCCTCCTAAGCAGCTAGGACTACAGGCACATACCACACCTAAATAATTTTTTAAAATATTTTTTTGTAGAGAAAGAGCCCTTATTGAAGCTAAACAACATACACCTGCAGAAATCTGAGTTCTATTTTTATCCTTCTTCCCCTGAGTCTCAAGTTTTCCATGTATCTCCACTTGGGTTTTTGTTCCCATTCTCTCAGATTCTTGGATTTTGATGTTTCTTCATTTTCAGGGTGTCCTATTCCACTGGCTCTTAACAACCTAGACAGGTGTTCCGAAAACCAATGGACTACAGTGCCAATAACTGGCTGTTGACAACCATGGTGTTGCTCAAATCCTCTTCTCAGTGAAAACTCAGGATCTGGCTTCTTCCCTTTCACTCTGTCTCCTCCCACCTCCCTTTTCTTCTTTCTTCACTCTCTCTTTCCCTAAACCTCATTCCCTAAATTTCAACTACATTTTCTGGGTGAAAGAATTTAAATCTGCATCTCTATAACCAATCTTTCTCAAGCACTAGTGCCCATAATGAAATTTATTGCTGGGCCCTTCTACCAAGACATGTCACCAGCTATTAAAACTTAATACATCTAAAATTAAGCTTCTACATCTCACCTTCAAACCATTCCTCTCTTCATGGCCTCCCTTTTCCAGACTAATGCCTGTCTTGCCTAACTTACATTTGAGATGCCTCAAAGTCACCTTCTTTTTGAATTCCCACTGCCATCATCCTAATTATATATATTTGGGGATTAAAGCCTGGCCTTTTAATCCAGTTAATTTACTGTTTAATGGATCTCTACAAACAGCTCATCTGCAGGCCTAATATGGCCTACATGTAATTGTTAGTCATTTTTACTCAGTATTTTTAAAACTGTGATAAAAACAAATACATAAAATAAGTGTGTATTTCACTAGTGTTAAGTATCCGTTAGTCATAATTAAAAACACAGATACTAGCTCACAATAATGAGCAGATGAGAACTGCTTGACCACCCCCTGGCTGCTGCAGGTGGAGACTGCTAATCCCCTTCGCTGTTAGGCCAGTAGCTGAGAACCTGAAAGTCACTGAAATGGAAGACCATGCTAATTTTATAATTTTCTTCAAGTTTAATGCCATTAAAGTTTCATAAAATTAAAATCATGAAGGAGGACTGAAAAAAGGTAAGAATGAATAAAACTCCATATAGACTTCAGTCACATTCTACCTGTGTACAAGCATTGTCTTTTTTTTTTTTTTTTTTTTTTTTAAAGACAGCATCTAACTTTGTGGCCCAAGCTGGAGTGCAGTGGTGTGATTTCGGCTCACTGCAGTCCACCCGCCTCAGCCTCCGGAGTAGCTGGGACCACAGGTGGCACCACCATGCCTGGCTAATTTGTTTGTAGAGGAGGTTTGGCCATGTTGCCTAGGCTGGGTCTCTTCTCCTTTATAAAAATTCACATGGCTTGCCCATCAGAATATCCACTACACTTTGTGGGAAAAAACTAAAAAAAATAACATCTATAAACGCCCAACACTTCCACTTGGCTCTAAATATGGTCTATAATTTGGTCCCACATTATTTTTCTGGTCTCACTTCCTATTATGTTAGTTAAACCCAACTATGCGTAATTCTAGGATGGCCTGGATGTTGCTATCGGGTGACTTTACTCAATGCCACAGTACAATAGTTTCAGTGTAGGTTCTGGGGCCAGGCCCTCTGGGTTCAAAGTCTGACTTCACCACTCGTTACTACTTGACACTGGGTAAGCTGTTTAATCTGTGCCTCATTTGCCCATCTGCAAAATGGGAATACAGTAATATCAGTTTGATAGGGTTGCTCTGGAAGTTAAATGAGTTAATTCACAGAGTGCTTAGAACGCTGCCTCTACCACACTAACAAACATGAACTATCATTTTTCCTGCAACCTGGAATGACCTCCTTCAAGTGGGCTCAAATCCTATTTCCCTGATGACCTCATCAGAAATGACTTCCAGTCCCCCACAGCGCTCTGAGAGCGGTTTCCGACCCGAACGGATTTCGCCAAACTCCAAAGACGCGGGTTCCCCTCAGCATCACCAGGTGAACGCTGCTGACCGCGCCATTGGGTCGTGCCCGGACGTGGACGCTGCCCAAGGCAGCAGATCCACACTCCCCTAAACCAGGCGCCGGTGGGCGCTACTAACGCGTTGAGGCCGGCTCCCTCCTTAAAATGCCTGCACATCTACTTCTCATTTTCCCGCGGTGGATGCGGGCCTAGAAAAGTCTTTGTAAACTGGAAAAGGCTGTACAAATGTAGCGGGCAGTAGGTAAACAGGCGCTTCGCCTGGGATGCGATGCAAGCCCGAGCGCCCCGGGTTACACTAGGTTGGAGGCTCAGAGAAGGAAAACGGATTAAGGGCGACGCTTCGCGTCTCGGGACAAGGTCCTCGGCCTCCTGTCATGGCTAGTGGCGCTAGGCGTCCGCGATCGCCATCTCTGCGATCGTACCTGAGGATATCTGCACCGCAAGCCTCGGCGTCCGCCCGGACCAGGCCTACCAGTGCAGCCGCCGCAGCCGCAGCCGCAGCCGCAAGAGCCGCAAGAGGGCTGACAACTTCCAGGCCTCTACCGGGACCCAGTCTTACCTCCGGCGGCAGAGTTACCAGCAGACGCAGCCGGAAGTAAAAGGCGGGGCTCAAGATGGCCGCCGGGGCCTCGCCTGGGCCCCCCCGCCCCACCCATATGATGCCCCGCCCCTCCGGTCCCGCTCACTGTCGCTTTTAACTCCGATTCTCCAGTCCCGTTCCCATGGCTCCGCCCCCTTTGCAAATTGCACTTCCCGGCAGCCTCCGCGTGGGCGTCCCCTCCGACTCTTGCTTTCACCCGCGTTTCTACTCCTCGTGGCTACTAGGACCAAAGAGGAGGGCGTTTGATGTTAATCCCTGTTACCTTGCCTGAGAGCAGTCCGCTGTGCGTGCTCAGACTCTTCCCAGAGCCGGCAGCAAGAACCGGAGGCATTAATAAATTTGAGATCTAGCTTCACTTAACTCGTGGAGAGGGTTTCCGTGTCACTTATGTAGAAACTAGAGCCCAATTTCAACTCCCCTCACTCCTCTGTCCTAAGTCTATCCACCTCACCTACTTGGTAGCTGCAGTTAAACAAGAATCCTTTGAAATCTCCGGTCACCGACATGCAGTGGGACTACCATCAGTTTTCCTGTTTCCTTCCTTCTTCCCTCAATAAAAATTAAGTTGAACTAAGTAAGATTTGCTGGTTGATAATTTACAGCAAATCTTTCCTTTCGGCCTCTCTGATTTAAGTAAACTGTGAGTATACTTTGCCTCTTGAGAAATTAAATCTGATTGCAACAGAGCTACGTATTTTTCACAAACAGTTAGACTGACATTGTAAATACACTATCTGCTAGTTGGGGCTGGCCTCATGGGCCTGGAACCTGTGCTCTTACCCCGGCCCCCAGAACAGGAGGACGCTACACTTTCTCTCAGTAAGTTTTGGACCCGGGCCCCACATTTACATTTAGCACTGGGTCCTGCAAGTTGTGTAGCGGTAGGAACTGACGTAAGTATGGATGAGCTGCCACACAGAAGATTACCTGCCAGAATCTATTGTGTGGCTCAGGCCCATTTTGCCATATTGATCTTTGGACTAAATTGACCTATGGACTGAACCTGTGGATCAATAGGAATTCAGACTGAAAATAATGTTTCATCAAAATAATGTTTTTATTTTGAGAAAGCATTGAAGTAAATTGTTTTAAACTTTATTTTTACTATTTTTAAATATAAATAATTGAAAAGGGGATTTTCTCCAGCTTCAAAACTGAAACAGAATAAATGAATACCTGTTTGCAAGTTCTTTAGGACTGATGTTTGAACAAAGATAAATAATTAAATGATAAATCCACCTCACTGCGTCGAGGTGCAGACAAGCCGAAGAACTGTAAGTGTGAAGCTCTTTTACCAAAGGGTTCTTGTGTTAATACAGTATGAGAATAATTAGAACTAAAATTTCTTTTACGCAGCATAAATAAAATGTTAATCGATCCACGAAAGTTGATTTCTTTAAAATATTAAGAATATGTATATAATAATTATTATTTGGAGGCCGGGCGCGGTGGCTCAAGCCTGTAATCCCAGCACTTTGGGAGGCCGAGGCGGGTGGATCACGAGGTCAAGAGATCGAGACCATCCTGGTCAACATGGTGAAACCCCGTCTCTACTAAAAATACAAAAAATTAGCTGGGCATGGTGGTGCGTGCCTGTAATCCCAGCTACTCAGGAGGCTGAGGCAGGAGAATTGCCTGAACCCAGGAGGCGGAGGTTGTGGTGAGCCGAGATCGCGCCATTGCACTCCAGCCTGGGTAACATGAGTGAAACTCTGTCTCAAAAAAAAAAAAAAAATTATTATTATTTGGACATGGAAGCAAAGTAAGCTGAAATCAGAAATTAAGGTTGATATTTTAAATAATGAGACTATCAATAAGAATGGATCAATATTAAGTACCCAAAGAAATAGTCCAAAAATTATGTGTGAATGTGTGGCTGAAAGGATTTAGCACTCTTGGGTTGAACTAAAATAAATTGGAATATAATCTTAAGGAGGTAATAAAGGGATGCAACAAAACTGAGAAAAAGTCAAATAAAGTCTGTAAGAAAAGAGATTGTTTTAGTCAGTTCCAGCTTAAGAGAAACGTAATCCTTACCATTCTAAAAGTCTAGGAAGTCCGAGATCAAGGTGCTGGTGAATTCTGTTCCTGCGGAGAGTCCTTTTCCTGGTTTGCAGAGGAATGCCTTCTTGCTGTATAGCCTCACTTGGTAGGTGGGGTGAGGAGAGCTCTGGTTCCTTCATCTTATTATAAAGGCACTAGTCCCATTCACATGGACTCTACCATTATGGTGTAATTATCTCCCAAAGTCTCCACCTCTGCATACCATCATGTTAAGGATATAGGGTTCATTGTTTGAATATTGGGGGATAAAAACATTCAGTCTATAGCAGAGATGATTTTAGAGAGTCTAGAAAAGGCACCATACATGAAAGTTATATAATCTCTTGGGCATTCAATATGCTATTTGAGAAGTGTCCTTGTGGCTTTTCCACAGACTAGAATAGGGTTTCTCAACCTTGGCACTATTGACGTTGGGGCCAGATAATTCTTTGTTGTGGGGACCTATCCTATGCATTGTAGCAGGTTTAGGAATATCCCTAGCCTCCACTAGCTAAATGCTGGTAGCACCCCCAACAAGCTTAGATACCCAGTACATCTCTAAACATTGCCAAGTGTCCATGGAGAGAGTGGTTGGGGAAGGGGAGGGCAGCACAATTGCCCCTAGTTAAGAACCACTGGCTTAGATAAACACTTCTCAAAACTCCGTTTATTCTGATTTTGTTCCTATCTAGTGACATTTTGGAAAAGAATAGCCTCCACTGTTATTTAATAAATCAGAACTTAGGCTAATAATGCTTTAGTCTCTGGTGAGTCTAGTTGAGATGATACATTTTCCCAAAGACTTACTACCTCTGAGCATGATATTCACCTTATAAGATTGAGTTTCTGAATGTGTACTCTGAGGACCAGACTTTGCATCATGGGAACTGAACTAAGCACCAAAAACTTACAGCCCTGTGGCACTGTTCCATCTTGTCTTTGTTATCTTAGTTCTAAATGCGGAGTGCAATACAGAAAGTATGATAAACCTTTCAGTCTCACACTCATATTGGCAAATGTCCGAATTTCAGGTATTTCGATTTTATTTATTTATTTATTTATTTATTTATTTAAGACAGGGTCTTGTTCTGTCACCCAAGCTGGAGTGAAATGGTGCAATAATAGCTACTACAACCTCAAACTTCTGGGCTCAGGTGATCCTACTGCCGCAGCCTCCTGAGGAGTGGGCACTACAGGCATGTGCTAGCATGCCCAGCTAATTTTTGTATTTTTAGTAGGAATGGGGTCTTGCCATGTTGTCCAGGCTGGTCTTGAACTCTGGAGCTCAAGTGATCCTCCCACTTTAGCCTCCCAAAGTGTTAGGATTACAGGCATGAGCCACTGCACCCAGCCACATCTGGCCTCAATTACATTTTTTTATAATATTCTTAAATCCTAAAAGCTATATTCTTTTTCATCATCCCTTCAAAAAAAATTAAGGGTTAGTATGTGATGGCACAGAGCCAAACTTTGCATTAGCCATTATTGTTAACTTTGTTAGCATGATAACTAAAATTATAGATTTTTTCCTATTCAGATTGACTCTTTCCTATACTTTCTTTCTTTTTTTTAATTGTACTTTAGATTCTGGAGTACGTGTGCAGATCATGCAAGATTGTTACATATGTACATTCATGGCAAGGTGGTTTGTTGCCACCATCACCCATCACCTATACCTGACACTTCTCCTCACATTATCCCTCCCCAACCCTCCCTCCCACTATCCATCCCATAGTCCCCCCGCAATGGATCCTACTGTGTGATGCTCCCCTCCCCATGTCCATGTGTTCTTATTGTTCAACACCGGCCTATGAGTGAGAACATGTGGTGTTTGGTTTTCTGTTCTTGTGTCAGTTTGCTGAGAATGATGGTTTCCAGCTTCATCCATGTCCCTGCAAAGGACACAAACTCATCATTTTTTATGGCTGCATAGTATTCCATGGTGTATATGTGCCACATTTTCTTTGTCCAATCTATCACTGATGGGCATTTGGGTTGGTTCCAGGTCTTTGCTATTGTAAACAGTACCACGATGAGCATATATGTGCATGTGTCTTTATAGTAGAACGATTAATCATCCTTTGGGTATATATATACCCAGTAATGGCATTGCTGGGTCAAATGGAATTTCTATTTCTAGGTCCTTGAGGAATCGGCACACTGTCTTCCACAATGGTTGAACTAATTTACACTCCCACCAACAGTGTAAAAGTGTTCCTATTTCTCCACATCCTCCTCAGCATCTGCTGTCTCCAGATTTTTTAATGATCACCATTCTAACTGGTGTGAGATGGTATCTCAATGTGGTTTTGATTTGCATTTCTCTAATAATCAGTGATGATGAGCATTTTTTCATGTTTGTTGGCCTCATATTTGTCATCTTTTGAAGTGTCTGTTCATATCCTTCACCCACTTTGGGATGGGTTTGTTTGTTTTTTTTCTTATAAATCTGTTTTAGTTCTTTGTAGATTCTGGATATTAGCCCGTTGTCAGATAGGTAGAATGCAAAATTTTTTTCCCATTCTGTTGGGTGCTGGTTCACTCTAATGACTGTTTCTTTTGCTGTGCAGAAGCTCCAGAGTTTAATTAGATCCCATTTGCCTATTTTGGCTTTTGTTGCTAGTGCTTTTGGTATTTGAGTCATGAAGTCCTTGCCTATGCCTGTGTCCTGAATTGTTTTGCCTAGGTTTTCTTCTAGGGCTTTTATGGTGTTAGGTCTTATGTTTAAGTCTTTAATCCATCTGGAGTTGATTTTTGTGTAAGGTGTCAGGAAGGGGTCCAGTTTTAGCTGTCTGCACATGGCTAGCCAGTTTTCCCAACACTATTTATTAAACAGGAAATCCTTTCCTCATTGCTTGTTTTTGTCAGGTTTGTCAAAGGTCAGATGGTTGTAGATGTATGGTGTTGCTCTGGAGGCCTCTGTTCTGTTCCATTGGTGTATGTCTCTGTTTTGATACCAGTACCATGCTGTTTTGATTACTGTTGCCTTGTAGTATAGCTTGAAGTCTGGCAGCATGATGCTGCCAGCTTTGTTCTTTTTGCTTAGGATTGTCTTGGTTATGTGGGCTCTTTTTTGATTCCATATGAAGTTTAAAGT